TTTATAACGTTTTTATAACTTGCTCAAATCATCGCCTTGATATACGTTATCCATCGTCTGGATCTTGTATAGAAACTACTACTTGTATAGAAACTTCTTTCTCTAGTTCAGTTTTATTCATTGTTTGATTAGATTGGCTCAAATCATCGCCTTGATATACGTTATCCATCGTCTGGATCTTGTATAGAAACTACTACTTGTATAGAAACTTCTTTCTCTAGTTCAGTTTTATTCATTGTTTGATTAGATTGGCTCAAATCATCGCCTTGATATACATTATCCATCGTCTGGATCTTGTATAGAAACTACTACTTGTATAGAAACTTCTTTCTCTAGTTCAGTTTTATTCATTGTTTGATTAGAACAGAACCGAAAGTATGAAAGCCAGAAGAATCAAGAAGAGAAAACTCGTCACCAATTTCAAGAATCCTGGAGACTGCACGACTTCTTTGGTTCTGCTGGAGTAACGAGTCTTAAGAGCATAGTGCACACGGTCTTTGTACGTCATTATGGTCTTTCTGGCGTCAGGCCATGGATGAGGGCCGTTCAATCGATACTGGTAGGGAAGACAAGGCCCGAAGACACAATGCCAGAAGAAACCAGGGTCAGTTAGCAGGATATTAAATAGTTTAGGTTTAGCATTAATAAGTGAAGAAACCTCGTCCATATAGGGTATCCAGTCAATCTGAATAGTATTTCGTGGACTTTCAAAGTACCTCTTGGCCATGTCTGCACGCTTCTTCTTGATGTCGGCCATCATATCTCCAAAAGGTGGGAGCTTCGCCTTCTTTGACATCAACAAGGCGAACCAGCGAGCCTGGATTTCACCTATAGGAAACAAAGCCCCAACTGGCTGCGCTAGCGCAATGAAAGCTAGGGATGGATGTTTTAGTTTGGGGGGGATCACATACTTGTACAAGTCCACATTGTTGTTCTCAATAGAAAGAATTTTTTCGTCGATAAAAGGAAACTGGATTTTATAGCCAGTAGCAAGGATGATGACATCAGCTTCACGTTCTTCTTCTTCCTCTTCAAAAATAACTCCTTTCTCTGTGAATGCTTTAATATTTCCTTTCAGTTCCACCGTTCCACTCAAAATTCTGTTGGGTAAAGCATCGTTGACCATAGGATGTTGTCCAAAGATACGGTGTTTCGGTTTGATTTGATAAATCTCATGGTTGAACCGGTTATTAATGTAGTTTTCTGATAAATAACACAACAGGCTATAAGGAATACTGCGCCAAATCGTATTCCACGATCGTTTAAGGAATGTAGCATCAAAAGGCATGCCATTTGGTCCCACTCGGTGAATGATCCAGCAACCACGTCTGGTACTTAAATACACCTTGAAGAAAAAAAAAAATAGTGAACAATGGTTATCTTTTGCTGACTGATTAAAATCATTTAACCTAAATTAAACATTCAGATGTAAAAAGTTATTCAAGTCATTGGAACTAGTTTCTCTAAAACTAATAAATTAAATATAGGTCGCAGTCCACTGGCAGCATATTATTTTCTTCTTTCACCTCTCTCGATTTATTCGTTCTCTCTCACATCACCCTAGTCGTCTATTTCCCCCCCCCCCCGTCTTGGCTCATTTGATGATACAATGATCTGAAAATGCTTTTATTTGAATATTGTTTGTTCGTTTAAGCAGTCACAATACTTGGAAAGCTGCGAGGTAAAGGATGTGTCAACGTGAGGAACAATGAATAATTTACTATGTTTTGTCTTAATCGGATCTGAAAATTGGTGAACACGTGGAATACTAGTTTTGCTGGTATAATAATAATAAACGTTTCAGTCGATTCCTGACAGCCTGACACATCATGTACGTTGATAAGTCACCGTCCCCCAGTGGTAAACTAGAAGTATATAGTCAGATTTCCTGTATCACAAATATCACGTGGTAAACAACAAGGATATAGTCAGATTCGATGTGTTGCATATACCATGTGTGTACCCTATATATATATATATTTCTTCTTTGCTCTCTGGTTGTGTGTATATATATTTTTTTTACTTCCTCAAAGTGTATTTATATTCTTTTTACTTCCTCAAAGTGTATTTATATTCTTTTTTACTTCCTCAAAGTGTATTTATATTCTTTTTTACTTCCTCGATGTGTATATCTATTTTTAATTGCATTTTTCCTCTCTTAATTAGTTTCTAAATTTGCAGTAAAAAAATTAAATACGTGTACTGCAAGGATCAAGATTAAACGTAACCAAGACACGTCAGTATAAGCCGGAAACTGAGTAAATCTGAAGTCGTCGTTTCACGTGGTTTATTTGTTTGAAGTTAAGCACAAAGCTACACAAAGGGCTATCTATATCGAAATCCGGTTT